AAAGTTAAAAAAATTGTGTTATAAAAAAAATACAAAAAACGATGGATTCAGTGGTAGCCCTGATTACCTACGTTGTCTGCGAGCAACTAATTAGCAACTAAACATGCGGTTTTCAGAACTCTGGTATCTTATCGGGAACCGAAGATACATCAATGGCCTGCTAGCTTAAGACTTACCCTAGCAGAGCGCACGTATGTTTTACACGTAAAGAACTACTGAATCGGGAATAGTGTAGCTAATTAGCAACTAAATATGGCGTTTGCAGAACTTTGATATCGTATCGAGAACCGAAGATATAGCAATGGTCTGCTATCGACAGTCATCCCATTCGATGTTTTCGATAGTTAGATAATTTTAAAAAGCATTGACGAAGCTATTTATATAAACTTCGAAATCGAGCAACATCGATTACAATGTATCTGCGTACATTGGTTAAGTGGCTTATCGTAACTACAAAATGTAGGCATTTCACTGTCAAAGCGATGTCGCGCCAATAAAAGTCCCTTTAACCGAAACCGCAACCTATTGCATGATAAATAAATCTATTTAGAATGCGTTTGAAATAAATAGATTTACCGAATTCTCAGTTTATAAATAAAATAAATTTTATCTTTTCATCATTTTATTTTCCAGGAATAGCCGTGCTGCTAAAGACGATACCTTTTATAACTCTAGGACTAACTTAATTAACGATCGAGATGTATACATCGAGGATATTGTTGAAGATCCAGAAAGTATGGACACAGACAAAGGACATTTTCAACGGAGCAAAGTGAATCACAAAGTACAGCATCATCGGCGCAGTGACAATGAAGCGAAACATGCAGACGACGATTCAATGTATCGACATGAGATGGATCGCGGCAGTGATATCGATTACCACACCGCTCGGAGCAGTTTAAGAAATAAACGGGAGTTTTTCATAAGAGATGGTAATATTGAAATATTGCAGCTCATGACTAGAGATAAAACTCGCGACGCTGCTACGGCAGTAGATGACGATAATATTTACGTCAATTTACCTGTAAAATCAGCAAATCACTCACAACCCCATTTGCTAAATGCAGATAACAGCGGAAAAGAAATTCTAATGCGCCGATTCATTGAGGAGCAACCTGATGGGAAACAAATCATACGCGAGCATTATCAAATCGTGCCCGGTGCCACATATATACAATCAATGCCCAATGAAATTCAACAACACACAACTTTGAAGGGGGACTCCTTTGCTCTCGGTAAATCAGGTGCAAATAGTATAGTTTATTCACAAACAGAACCCGAAGTCAAAGTAATACATACACAGCCTGTTCATGGAACAATGGCATTACAAACTAATGGTCTTTCGGGTCAAATGCAACCATCAACATCGAATCAGTCATTAACACATGACCTTGAGAATTCTTTGAAACATCAAAATGAGCTACTACGTAAAATTTTATTGGATAAAGATAAAATAAAAAACCGATATACGCAACAGGAAGTAGTATTAGAGACTCAGAGTCTTCCGGGGCAATATGTAGCAATTTCAACTCAAACAGAATGTGAGGTGGGTACGCAGACTGACGCAAATGCTGAATTTCTCCAAACAACGTCCGTCAATACGCAGGGAATATCTGTGCGACGCAAAGCTCGAAGTGAAAATGATGATTCATTGTCAGAAAATGAACATGAGTACTTGCGTTTCGCTCCCCCAAATAGTACCGAAACTATTTATTGGTTAAAACGAAAGAAGCAAAAAAACCACAGTAAGTATCGAAGAGACAAACATCCTCATAAACGTGTTGTTATGTTAGAAGAGGTTAAAAGAAAAATACGTACTCCCATTAAAGAAGATGACGAGTATAAAAAACGAACCCCACCCAAGAAACCGCTTCGAAAACATATTGAAAAGAATACCAGTTTTCTAAGACGTAAAAAAACTTCGAAAATAGAACATGAAGATGGTGCCATATGGCAAACTCAATCCGAAGCGGACCACGAAGTGTTAATAGAAATATCAGATTCCTTAGGTGAAAAATCAGGAAGCTCAGACCATTTTGGAGCAATAAGAGTTGGCGAAATAGAGTGTTACTCTCAAAATGGCGTTGGAACTTCATATGCTAATAATGTGTCTAGCGATGATATTGACGATGAAACCAATAATTCAAATGAATCTGATGCGGATGAAATTATAATAAAAAGAAACGTATTTACCTCTAACCATTTTATGCCGAAAAATGATAGTACAGAAACTAATCCAAAAAAAAGTTACAAAATATGCCTAAACAAAGAAATAGATGCCCGAGAAAAAGTTAATGCAAATCTTTCAAGATCTGCTTCAGATGAAAGAGAAAGAATCCTGGGAGCTAGGCTTCCAATAACTATAAACTCGCCTTCACAGCGACTGAATCGCTGTCAAAGCTCTTCTGGTCCTCCATACAGCCGCTCTGATATTGAAAAACACAAATCTTCCTCTTTAAACGTCATAAGTAACAGGCACAAAAAAATACCAAGACCAAACCAATCAGCCAATGGTCGTGTGTACCAAAGTGCAAACGATTTAAATTATCAAGACAATCATTTCCATGAGAGTACTGAAAAAGGCGTGCCAAAATACATGGAATGGTATTATAGCAAGCGAAAAATTGCAGGTAATAGAGGTGCAACAGAACCTTTGAAGGCCGCAGCAAGAAAAAGAAACAATGTATCAGAAAAACGTGTACTAAAAACACACTTGCGCTCAAAAGCCGAAGTGTCTAATTATGAAGAAGGAAAATTCAAACCAGAACCTGCACCTAGAAAATCCCCTTCGAAGAATACTAGGCTTCTCAAAGAAGATATTGCAATGAATAAGCAACATAAACCCAAAATTGAGACTGATACTAGCCATCCANCAGAACCTGCACCTAGAAAATCCCCTTCGAAGAATACTAGGCTTCTCAAAGAAGATATTGCAATGAATAAGCAACATAAACCCAAAATTGAGACTGATACTAGCCATCCATTATTGCAACATTCAGAACATAGATTTGAACGCGAAAATGCACCTGGGGTACCGTTACCACCGTCAAAACTGCCTCATTACATGTATCCGGAAACTCCACCTTTTACTGCGTTTAAGGAGACACCAGAAAACAATATGAAAACAAAGTTCAAGACATCGCCCATAAGAGAAAATGAAGTGAAAGTGGGCTTGAAAGTGAGACCAAATGTGGAAAATTCAAGTTCTGCGCATGTTAATACTAATAGTCAGAAGCAACTTAATGCGTCTACCCTAGAGGATGATCATGACTCTGGTATAGCCATGAATTCTTTACTGAATAGTATGGGTCGTCGGAACCCAATTGCGGATAAGAAAAGTGTTTTTTCTATTGCATATGATGATGTTAGTCGAGTGAGGAAAATTACATCGGGAGGAGAATCGCCACAATACTCATAGAATCAGAGGTGCCTTATTTTCTCGAAATAAAAAACAAGTACATACATACTTGCAAAGTACTAAAATAGAAATAATGTAATTACCATATGTGATACTTTTTAAGGTTCCATTTTATATTTGTAAACTAATATACATATGTAATGTACGTTATGTTATAATTTATATACAATTTGTTATTGAACTTGACCTCTGTGTATATACATACATACTTATTAACATACATTATAACGAAGGAACATGTTTTAGAGTTTGCAATTTAATTTAATCTTTAAGGCTTGTTTTCGCCATACCGAATTCAATGACATTTGTCGTCAAATAATTGAAAATATATTGGCGCATATTAATAGTCAAAATAAAGTCGACTCTGAAGTTATTAGCAGAGTTTTGACATTTTTTTTTAATAGAATATCTGTCAAAAAGCTGAAACTAACTTTAGGTTTATTTCGACTATCTATTGTCAAATGGGACCAAAAAAGGGTCCGTCGATTGACTAAGATCGGAGTTGGTCTTCAGTGTGTAAATTCGTTGCTAAACAGGCTATCTATCTGGTTTGGGCCCATAATATCATCGGTTAAAATATGCATAAAGGAGACAAGTTATGTCAAAATATGTCGTCAAATTTTGTCGTCAAAATATGGCATAGCGAAAACCAGCCTTTAATTATTCAGGTGCAATGTTGAGCAACAGTTATGAATGAGTACTTTTTTAAATAAGGCAATACAATTTAGTAAGTTAACGCTTAATAGCTGCATATATAAATACATACATTTATCATTTACATATGAGTAAAAATTTGTGAAGTGGGCCACCATTTTTGCGAAGGTCGAGCATTTTTGTGCAATCATAAGTTTATGCTTGACAACGATAAAAGAAAAATACAATTGCACAATATTTCGAAACTAGAATTATTCTGGAAGTTATAGCTATTAAACTTTTTTCGAAATTGTTCAGATTTTATTTGTTCTCTCGCGATTGGTAATATCGATTCTGCTCAGTTTTTAAACAGTTAAGAATGATGATGTTTTCTTCCCATTTTTATTTTTTATTTGGTCATAATTTTTTTTATAAAAGTTATAAAATTTTTTTTAAATATTACTGGCATCTCAATGGCTTTAAAATAGCGTTTTGGGCTAATATTGTTGTACGTTTTATTAACATTTTCAGAAAAAAAAATTGCGGAATGCATCGAGACGAAAGGTATTCACGCTTTTCTCTTGACGCCCAATATATTTTGTTTGGTATTACCAATTGGGCGAAAAGAAATAAAATCCAAACAATTTCGAAAAAAGTTAACAGTTATAACTTCTAAAATAATTCGAATTTCTAAATTTCGTTTTTCGTTGTGAGACATAAACAGATAATTGCACAAAAAAATGGTGGCCCACTTCACAAATTTTTACTCATATATATAAGAAATTCACCTATAATATGTTCATATGTATATTAAAGATACAATATATTAATAAAAAGCTAAATATGTATGTAGTCATAAAATATAAAAATGTATTTATATACTAATATTCGACGATCTCCGAGAAAACGGCGTATATCATAAGATCGAAAAGGTTAACAAACGGTATTTCTCGACCATATCGATACCCCTTTTGGGAGCAAGGGGTTATAGTGGGGCATCTCAGTACGCAGTTACAGTTGTTCCACTCTGCTCAATTCCTACTATTGCGTGCCCGTTCGCGTACTCTGTACAACGTGAGCAATCCATGATGATGAGGTAACCAACCCATACACTATGGTCTGGCAGCTACCATTTGCTGGCCAAAATTCATTTTTTATGGTATCGATAAAACATTTTTTTGTCCCTTTTCTAAACTAATTCTCCATAGTAAAAAATTGCATACTTATTATTTTCTTAAAGAGTTTTTCCGTTGAGATATCTACAAAAAGTTGACATATTTTTTTCCTTCGTAGTCAGTATTCGAATTTGAGTAAGTCTTCGNGAGATATCTACAAAAAGTTGACATATTTTTTTCCTTCGTAGTCAGTATTCTTGTAGTTCGAATTTGAGTAAGCCTTCTAGTGAGAAAGATACTTCAAAATGGAAATGATAACGAAGGTAATATTTGCGTGATTAACAAAAAAGAAAAGTAGCATATAGCTTGCTAAATAAAATAAAACTCATTTTCAAAAGTACAGCTATAAAAAATTGGTTTCATTTGGTGGTCTGCAAGCTTTGTGGCAATAAAAATGTTCAATTTGGAGTTTGTGGGCTGAGAATCATGTTGCACTTTTTGAATAATGGCTTTTTCTTGGAAACTTCTATGTATGTGTATTGTGCCGTGCTTTGCGATATTTGAAAAAAGCAGTCAACAAAGATGCAAAATAAAATTATAGTTTTAAAAACTAAAACCTCGCTATTATAATTTCCATTCGTCTTCAGCATTGGTCGTGATTACGTTGTTGTTTTAGTTTTTTTTTAGTTTCTGCTTGAGGCCTTTAATTATATTATTTTCGTTGCTCTGTTTTTTGTATCCGTTGGCTTTGATTTCCTTTTCAATTAATTTTTTGCACATGTGTCTAGTTTGTTCCTGTTCCTCTTTCGGCAGCATAGATATGGCTATTTCCACATCTACAATTGTCTGCTCGATCTCCTTTTTCTTATTATAATTCTGGATATAATGTTTGCGTCCTCTTTCTAAAAGTCGCGCTTATTCTTTGCTGATGGGAACTTCTGTACGATTTACGAACCTGCAATGGAATTCAAGTTTCTCTCTCTGTTGTTTATTCACTCCTTTTTGATTCGTTTGTAACTTTTCGAGCTTTCCTTTCAATTTGTTGTACTTCTTCTCCCTAACTTACGTTATGGGCGTTTTTATTTGATCTAAAAGCTCCATTAAGCAGTCGATTGGTATGAGCTCCGCTAACTATAAATGAATTGATAGCAACTCTGCGTTTGTGTGCCCCTTTTTGGCGTAAAGACCCTTTAATTCGTATGTTAAGTGTATTCTCTCTGCCTTCCTAAGACGTCGTTCATATGTGGTCAAAAGTATGTTGGTTCTGAGATAATAAGCCTGACTAGCCTTATTTGTGTGTTGATGTTGGTTGATTTTTCCGACAGGGCGGTAAGATGATTTATTTTGAAACGAATTTCCATAAAGAAAGCTACAAAAATAATAAAGGCGAACCAAATACATACTTTGCCATTGCCGGCCGAAACCGGTTTGTCTGCGAACCACGCTTGACAAGGGATGACGGAAATTCGTTCCAAAATAAATCATATTACCAAAATTAAGAAGGAGCCGCGAAAATGTTAGTCTGTTCCAATGCCCGTCAAATTTAGTCAGAAGTCGTTCTGTGCATTTGTTAATGTTTATCTACTTGACTAAATCCTGTAAATCTGAAGGGAACTGGAACATACTAATGTATTTTTAACGGACAGGTTTAAGTTTTGCCCAAAGCCAAAGCAGCAACTAATATTCTCTTTCTCGCACTCTTCATATTGTATACAAAACAATTGTGCCTTAATAAATTCTACCCTAGCTATTGTGAGCGAGCATTATTTATTTTATTTATGCAAATTTTGGGCACTTATCTTAAAATATGCAAAATTATGCATTTATTTTAAAATACACATACACACATACTTTACTCCCTATTTAAAAAAAAATGTTCAACAAAGAATATAATAATAATAGATTGGCGCTTATACATATGTTAGTGTTTGGGCGAGCTTCTCCTCCAATTTGTGCCGTGCGCCTTGATGTTTGTTGCTGTTAAAAAAAAAAAAAACCTTTTTATAAGCTTTTATTTAACTTGGTCATCCCGTGCAAATCGTGGAAATTTCCAATCGATTTTACACTAACTTCCCGACAAGTTAGAGACTTGAAATTTTCAGCATAGTTCCAATCACGATTACAATGCAATTTAAAATATAAATGAATTCCCTATATGGTCCAGGGGTCTTGATTCAAAGTCGGTCAAAAATTAGTAAAATTTATGGCTAACAGAGCGTAATTTGCCAAAGAACGTAAAAC